TTTGCCTTTTTCAGATCTTAAAAGACTTAATGGAAAATATTTCTTTTATAATGCTTATCTAGTTTATGTCAGATGAGCTTTCTTCATTTGAGGTTTTGGAATTTCTTCGAATTTTGGTACGTTTTCTTCTGTTTCGGGTGGGAGTGGTGGCTTTTGAATTTACGATGGTTCCGGAAAGTTTTCCTTGGTCTTCAAGATTTGATTTAATGTTTTTTGCTGTCTTCCTTGAACGTTTTGGCAAATTTATTTTATATTCTGGGCAACTACAATAGCTGCTGACATCAGGTCCTCTACAGAAAATACAAACAGGGGTTTCTTTTTTTGTGCTTACAACATTCGGCATTCGGTGATTTTTACGGTAGATCACCCAGTATATGATGCTGAAGCACAGATGTTGAGTGTGTGTGTATGTGGCGGGGGGATTTCTAGCATTTATACAGTGTTGCCAGATTGTGCGATATTTGACAAACTTGTGCTACTACAATTTTAGTTTTTGCGATTTTGCGAAATTTTTGCGACTTCCATCATTTCTTTATGCTACTTTTTGTGACTTCAAATATTTTTTTTTTTAAATATATCGTAAAATGCTTGCATGTTAAAATAATATATCAATTAAAAATAATTTACCTTAAAAAAACAGTTTATTTAGGCTTAAAAACGAGATGGTGGTAGGAGGAAGGGAGAAAAAGTCGGAAAGAAAGAAAAAAAAACTGCTTCGAGACCTCTCACCTTCCCCCCCCCACACCTTTCGCCTCCCGGGTGTTTTGTTTTTAAGTCAGTTCAATGTTGAAAACGAATCGAACAAAAGAATTTGCAGCTTGGGTACCCAAACGGAGAAAGAAATGAAACTTATATTAGGTACCCATACAGAAAAAGAAATGAAATTCATTCTCCTGATTATAATATTGCTTAGAACTAAGCAATGGAAATGACTTAAAAATGGCTGTCCTGTAATCACAATCTGAAATAAGCCCACCAGGCAGAAGGGAAAACTCACTGAAAAATATTACTCAATTAAAACGTTCACAATTAAGCAAAATAACAGTGAGTTAAACAAATTAACTGCCAACTCAAAAAATTTAGTAGAAAAGCGCTAACAATCTAAACGTGAGGAATCTCTTAAGAGCGGATATGCACAAATTAATTTAAAAATAGAACCTAAATTGAATGAGAATTAATTAGAAAAGAAATGGATTTATAAACAATTGAAAATGAGGAAAATAGTTTTAAAATTTTTCGTTAAAGCTAAGATACGTAATTAAAACAATTAAGAATCGAATACAGAACTAACGGAATCAATAGACAGTAAATTTGTTATGACATCAGAGGTCATGTGAGCATGCATAACTATGACGTCACAAAAATCACATTATCTCTGACGTCACTTGCTATTTTTTGCGACTTTTTAAGTCTTCTTTTGCTACTTTAGTTGAAAATTTTCTGGCAACACTGCATTTATAGCCCTGGGACGGCCTTCCTCTTCTTAGGCTTGTATTCTACGATATGTAAATTAATACACATAATATTGGTCACCTTAAAATTGGATAGATTAGCTGATCTTTTCTCCACTTCAAGGAAAAAAATGGGAAGCTTTTGAAAACTGTCTTTGGCTTTTCTCGTAAACTATTTTATTTTTAGAACTGGAAAATTTCATTTTGCTAAATCATCTTTGATTTTTTTTTCTTCAGGTGTTGTTCTGGGGAGATTCTGAGGATTACTTTAATAGTCCTTTCACTCTTCTTCTGGTACGTGTGAAAAGGTATATTCACCGTTCTTAGCTTTTCCTGAATTCAGAAGAAGTTTTCAGAATTTGTGCATAAACGTCTATGGAAGATCGTTTTACTTCTGTTTTGTATTCTTCCCTGCACCTGTAAGTTCTGATCTAAGCAAAGGCTAGTCGGCACCTTTGCTGCTTTAGGCGTTTCGCTTCTCATTACTTCCGTCTTCTCACTGCTGAGCGGCAAAAATCTATTTTGCTGTGAAATTTCCTTTCTTTTTTTTTCGTGACTGGAAATTCTCGCGGGTTTTCTAGAAGAGTTACCTTCTGCCTCGTTCTTGGCAATTTCATGTTGTCATTTTCACTCATTTCAACCTGTTGTTATCTTTTCTTTCCTCCAGATGTTTTTAAAGTATGTTTAGTATTTCTTAAAACTCTCCCCCTTGAAAAGGCAAAATTCAGCTGTCATTGTATGAATAGTTTGGTGGATTGTGTTTGGCTATACACACTTTAATTAACCATTTTAATGCTGTATCCAGTGGCATCGATTTCTTCAACAAAAACAAAAAACACAAAATAAAAAGAAAGCTACTCAGTCGAACATCAATATATTACCAGCACGCGAGGAACCACAAAATTTGTGCATATTTAAGCTTCTATCCTTAATTATTTAAATAAGAATAGAAAATTGGTAAAAATATATTTACAGGTGCCCCTGGGCGGTAATTGGCGATTTTTGGTGGTACTCGGACACCGAGTTTGCGCAATTCTTGTTATTTTGGCTTTATGTAGCTAAATGTGTGGCTCAAAAATCGCCGCTACACAAATCCAAAATAACAAGTCAAAGACACAAACTCGGTATCCATGCATACATCGATCTATTTTCATTAATTTAAAAAAAAAAAAAAATCAAAGAATTGCACAAACTAGACATTGCGCACTCCCTTGACTTTGTCCATGTACACATCGATCTAGATTCACTTAAAAAGTAAAAGGAGCAGCCACCAAAAAAAAAAAAAAAAAAAAAAAAAAACCGATCTCAATAAACTACGTTTTAAATGAAACAATGAAATAATATAAAGAAGGAAATTCATCTTAGCACTACACAAAGGAAATATCAACTTACCTTACTTACGAATTTCCTTGACTTCGATCAAACAAAATTCCTTAACAGCATCCTAAAACTTCCTAAAATTATCTGAATTAGAATCTGTGTACTGGCGTTGCCACATAAATTCACAAAAATAAGAGTAAAAAATATCCTCTGTAGTGCAGGTATCCTATGACGTTCGAACATACGCACTTCCTTCCTACAAACAGGACACTTATAATGACAACTAATTAAACCTTCATTTACACCCCAGTCAATCAATGCTTTTTTTCCTTTCGTTCCAAATCGTACAGAAACTTCAAATTAATCTTACAACACTCAGCAGAAACTTCAAATTAACCTTACAACATTCAGCCATTTTACCGTGTAAACCACAAAATAAAAACGTACTTCTTATCCAAAATCCGTCCCATCATTCAAATTCACCGCAATCACGCAACCAGTTACGTCATAATAGGGTTTCCGTAGTATTTAGTATTCAACTACTCAGGTTACCATAAATAAAACAACAACTTGGCCATAAATGAAACAACAACTTAGCGCTAATCCAAGGGGCACCCTTCAATCTACTCCAACCAGAATATTATATAACAAGATATTTTTATCCACTAAAAGTAGCATATGTAAAGTATTTAAGTAAATTATTGCAGAAGGTAAAAATAACTTGGTCTATATTTAACTTTCAATTCTAGGATATAAACATACGAAATATGATGTTTTACGCATTGAAAACTAAAATAATTGAAGCAAATTACTGAAGGAAAACAAACGTGCTGCATAAAGAACGAACTCGTCTCCTTTTACTTTGTGTCATAAAAGAGATCCGTAGTTGACTGAATTAAGTCATCACGAACGAACTTTGAAATAACTTCCCTTTTTGACTCTCTTTATTTGGGAACTCATTTGTATATTATTGTTTAACACAATATTGAGGCAAATATACTTTTAACTTTTTCATAAAATCACTAGATTTATATAAATCGTAATAGCCCAAGTTAAGTAACAAAGCTACCATTAATTTGCATTTTATTACTATTTTCTTAATACCTGTTTTTCGAGTAATTTAATAGACTTTTGGTTTAACCAATTTCTTACAGTGATTTCGTTATTAATTTTTACTGAAGATTTTGGCTGAAAGTATTTACAGAAATGATGATGAAAAGGGAATAGTTCACGTATACTCTAAGGTTGGCTATTCAGAAATGAAATTCTTGAAAGAATTTCTGCCTGTGTGTTTATTTCAAGAAATCTGAAAAACTTTTGAAACTATAACTGAGGATAAATGAAAGTAAAACTTACGTTTTAGCATCAAATATTTAGCATTAGCATCATCATCATAAAATAACGCATTTACATTTTCGTAATAAGGCAAAATATGTCGTTGAATTTATCTTATTTAAGAAAATATATTAATTTTTATGGCAACTTTAAATCAAATATTTTTATTCGCGATATATTAAATAATTTACATCTGAATTTTAAACATTACATTTAAAAATAACTATTATGAAATTTTGCGAAAATTGAGTTAGAAATAAAATCCAAATTTTTTTCAGACCAAGATATATATGGCATTAGAAACATCTCAAATTACAATAATGCCGCAAATACTCCTAAAAGTTACATATTTAATGCTAAAACTGTACAGATTGAATGAACTTTTATTTATGTTAATTAGGTAAGTAATTGTAAGTTAAAAAAATATATATATGAATTAATGAAGTTTATTGAGATCATATATTTTTTTCATTGAGATTATACATTTTTCGCGATTTAAATCTCTCATTTTCCTAAGCAATTCAGCTATAATTAGCAAGGCAAATTAAAGATCTAATAGCAATCAAACCAATAGTCCGGATATTAATTATTATCAAGGCGGAAGAGGATAAAAAATTAAGTCTTGTGTCTGGTGCAATGAACACAAGTGATAGGTTTTGTAAATGATAAACAGCATGATAATGCAACCTAACGTAACGGCCTAAAAAGTTTGGAAAATGTTCTCCAAAGAACGTTTCTAAAGTGAAAGGAGAATAAAGCAAACACTTTTCGAAATGTAAAAAGCAAATTAAATTTTAAAGAACAACATATCACTAAATAATTCAAAAATATATCACCTTTGAATTAACATGAAAAATCTTTTAGCTTTAAGCTGTTGAGAAATTCACAGCTTACCTCTAATCACCTTACTGCTAATGTATCCAAATAATATTCCCAAAGTTAAGCATTTTAATTTTGAAATGTTTCAGAGAAAAGAATTCCGTACATCCAATAAGGTTTCCACCTACTGAGTTATTCAAACATTAGAATCTTCCGTTCAAGGACCTCTCTTCTGTCACAAAAGTACAAAATTTCGCGTGGCTCACAATAAGCTGCAATTTTTTCAAGTAATCACTCGCTGTCATTCTGATCGAAATATAAACTGTGTGTTCTGTCAAGCGTAAGAACTGTTTAGCGGTTTGCTGTTCTTCCTTTTCACTCTCTTCAATCCGGCCGCATCATTTTCGTACTCAGTAGAATCTATTGTGTAACTTGGCGACTGCGATTTGTTTTTCGACCGCAGGATATTCATTCATTGAATGGGAAGAAGGGGTGATTCACAAATTGAATGAAATAAAATTAAAACCATACTTTACTCATGAAATATGCAGATTTGAATTATTTTTGTTGATGGATATCTTTTAAGATAATTAAAGATAAACTCTACATATGTGACTGAACACATTCTATATAAAGCACATATTCTAAAATAAAACGTCTAATGGAAAACAGGAACTAATTCCCAATTAAAATAGACATAAAACACATAATTATTCAGCACATATTATTTACCAATCATCATACCATAAAAATACACATGTTCAAATGCTGCAACTAATTTTATTACAGTTAGAATTTACCAATCAAACATACTACAAATATATATGTTTTAAAAAAACTGCAACTAATTTTTTTCATTACAGTTAAAATAATAAATTTCTATTATATAATCGTAAATAGCACAAATAAACAATTTCAGTCTATACAAATTGACAGGTATTCCTACAATATAAGAACACATATTCAAATATAGCTAAACATTCTTGTAAAATAGCTATAATAGTGCCCAATTTCTTCAAATAATTAAAAACATATATAGAAAAACAGGAACCAATTCCCAATTGTAACAAACATGAAATACCAAAAATTACTCAGTACATATATATACCAATCAATTTACCATATAAATGCACATGTTTCAATGCTGCAACTAATTTTAATTACAGTAGCATAGTTATCAATCCATCATACTATATAATGCACATGTTTCAAATCTGCACCAATTTTCATTACAGTAGTATATTCCAATTTGCCAGCTAATAAAATAAATCCGCTCTAAGTTGAATTGGCTGTAATATTCACAATGCTTAAAATAGTTAAGAATATCTACTGGAAAACGAAACTTATACCAATTGTGATGGACATGATATACAGAAATTATTCTGTACAAGGCTGTTAAAATTCCAGATCCTATAAAAAGCTACAAAACATCCTCAGATGTTTATTCTTATGTGCAAATACAAAACACTGAACTTTCTATCATATATAGAAGAGACATTTACCAATTCTATCAAAACTCAATAGACCTAAATATTTCATACATTTAATTATAACTCTAATAACAAGGAAGCAATATAACCGATAAAATAATTAGATACAGTTCTAAATTCCTGTTCTTACTGAAAATGCAGATATTCTAAGAACTGTAATGAACTTTTTTTACACAGTCAGAATATTCCAGTTCACCAGCTAACAATAATTGTAATGAACTATAAGTGAATACCAAAGAATTTTCCTTAAAATGTCCTCCCCGAAGGCATTCCTTCCTTAAGACCTCGCTTGTTTTGCCATAATACAAATAATATTCAGCCATCTAACCGGTATAGTGGTTAGCGTCGCTGACTGCTGTGCCGGAGGGCTCGGGTTCGAAGCATGGATGTTTGTAAATGTATAGTGTCAGTGTGGCATGGCGGCACTCTAAATATGCGGCGAGCCGGAAGTTCTCTCGTGTGGTTTGGTGGAATGTGATAGTGGTGGGAAACCCTCGGCCCCTTCCGGGTACTCTCCACAACAGGACGCAGAACATTTAAATTTTATCCAAAATTAAACTTCAAGCTTAAAACTTGCAATAGCTACATAACTCAATTTCTAACGGGGCACGGCCCTTTTCCGAGTTATCTTCGTACCTCGGATAACTGCAGCTGAGGTGAAGTGGGGGATTCAGATCATTTCCTGTTTCACTGCAGTAATATTTCTTAAACACATTTGAAAAAAACAGAGTGAACGTAACTGGCACTTGGGATTTGAAAAATTATTAGAAAATAAAAACGCATTTAACAAACTTTTGCAAACCATAAAATATTGTGCAGCAGAATATGCCGGTTGGGACTAAACTCTTCTACCTTTCTTTTCTTGGTTAAAGCCTGTTTGTTACCTATATATTTTCTATTTTTCAGGAAATTCTGTTGTAGAATCCTGAAGGAGTATTATTTTTTAGTGTATCTGTATAATAATTCTTAATAATGTTTATAATACTGTGATTGTGTCAACTGAATAGTATCACTGTATTTTTGACTCCCTAATTTTTGTCCCCCTAAAAAAACACATCTAGTGTTATTAATCTGATACATTTAATTGATCAATCCAATCATTTTATCTTTTGTTTGATTCCCTAGTTTCCAATATATTTATACATATATAAATATTACTTCTAATTTAGAACTAGCAACTATTTTGTACTATATTTAATTATTTTGTTCATAGCTTCCTTGTACATATTGTGTCTATGTAATCAGTGCATATCTGTATATAGTAATATTTTCCTTATTTTTTATCATATTAATTTATTATTATTATTACTATTACTATTATTATATTATTATTATTATTATTATTATTTCGTTGTTTGTTTGTTTTGCTTTAAAGAAAGTATAAAGTAGATGCTATCCTCTACTAGTCCTATAGGCAAATTTATTATTCTCTGTTCAACAATTATGTAACTTCTAATGTTATGTAACTATAGTTTTATAATAAGTGCATTTAATTTTGATCATTTGAATATGCTGATTTTAATCGATTCTATTGTAACTATTAGTTTATACGTATAAAAGTGTGAATCTGGTATTTAATTCATAACGGGATCTATTAACTTTGTGCAACTATAAATTTATACGTATAAAAGTGTGAATCTGGTATTTTATTCATAACGGGATCTATTAACTTTGTGCAACTATAAATTTTGTATTTAGTTAATAATGTGCTCTGTTAACCCTTTTGCAGGATAACGGGATATATTAACCCCGTGCAGCTTTAAATTTTGTATTTCATTAATAATGTGCTCTGTTAATCCTTTTGCAAAGTAACCTCTAGAAACTGTTTAGTACGATGAATCTTTAGCAATTACCAAGAAACAGGAAATTTAACTGCGAAGTAAGTTATAACAAATAGCTGTATTTAACATCCTAGCATCGAAAACGTATAGTATTATATGTAAAAACATTTATGTAAAACTGTATGTATATGTGGCACTGTAATCTTTTGGAGAATTGTTAAAAATGCCATCCTGCCTGCTACCTGTAACCACGGATAGCAGATATTAGATGGCATCTGCCAACTTGATAATTACACCGAGATACTCATTAAGTCCTAGTGTCGGTGTGGTCATTTTGGTAGTGTTTCCGGAGTACTCGCCATCAAAATTTGGGGTGGAAATAAGCTAAATCGCACTGTCACTTAAAAGAAGCTCAAGGCTGTTGCCAACGGCAGGGATATTGTAACGCTCCTTGCCACTAGTAATTTCGTGGGCTTGGGCTGACTACGTCAGACAATTGAGCATAATCAACAACACAAATAATATTCAATTCTGGTAGCAGTACCTTTAGACGCAACTTATTTTTCTCAATTAAAAATATAAACTGTAATGTTCGTTCATACAACAAAGCCTTTTACACAACGCAATATTATTTTAACATACAAAATTGCGCAACATATGTACATTCGGAAAAGCTTCAGTATGGTTACTCAGTTATGAAAGAATTAAAGGATTGACTGGTAGATTTAACAAACATTTCCTACAATATACAACAATCCAAGTAATTAAGCTTGCTTGCTGCATTCAAATTTTGCAGTGTACTTTCTCTGTAGCTCCTACTCATTAGTATGAAGGTAAAGTATTCCCGTTCTTTAGCCTAGTGATCAGGAAATGATAAAGTAATGAAAAAATTCTGGACCTAAATTTTATAGTGTAATCAACAATGCACATATGTGACAAGTGGAAAATAAAAGCTTGTAATGATCAAGAACGTGATGCGTCACGTGATGAACGAACAGTAAGAACCATACTTCCAATCAAAACATTACACAAACAATGAAACTTTCGTAAAAATAGCTCATGTAGTACTTGTGCTCATGTTGGTGATTGTTACGATTAAGTGTACTCGGAACCTAATCCATTCTAATTTAAAAAATATTAGAAACTAAAACGGTTAAGAAAAGGATCGATAATTTACCGAAAAACTCCCATTATAAGATTTTGTATTCTTTGATATTATGTTTAGCCCATTTACTTTAAAAAATAGCTGAAAATTTATTAAAATCTTCTAATTTTTTACATTATTAATTTTTTCAGCAAATTCCCTTTTTAGAATTTTATTATTTTCTGTCTAATGCTTTTCTTTCAGATTCAAATTTAAATTTTCACTCATAATATGGGAAGAAAGAAACGCATTTTAGCATAAAATTTTATAATGAATAAAGAGTCAGTTTTTCTATTACAAGCATTCTGCAATCTTGAATTGTCATCAGTGCTTATATGTCACTGTAAATCAGTATAAACACATGAGGATTGTAAAAATGATTGATAAAAGTAAATACACTCATGTCCATAAATTAACTCTGGGGCGAGACATGCAAAATCAGGCAAAGGAAGAGTAAGAAGCAAAATAAATTTGACTTATTTGTAAAGCTTATTTATTAAACAAAAGGTAAAGAGCAAAAAAAATATGCTATATGTTTGATATTATTTAAAAAATTAGCGATTTTTTCCTCCCTGGAGCAAATTAAAAAAAAAAAAAAAAAAAAAAACTATTTACAAAAAACCAATATTACATGGTTGGTATGATTGTTAATACACTGTATGTCTCCCAGACGATGCAATACAGTCCGTACAATGCTAAGGCATGCTGAGTATCAGATTATCGATCTGATCTTGGGGGATATTACACCACTCAAAAAGCAATGCTCTCCGAAGTTCCGGTACACATGTAGGAGGAGGTTGACGGGCTGCAACTCGTCGGCCAAGCATGTCCCACACGTGCTCTACTGGATTCAAGTCCGGTGAGAATGCTGGCCAGTCCATACGGGTGATATCCTCCGATTGAAGGCATTCGCTTACGATGTTTGCACGGTGAGAACGGGCGTTGTCATCCATAAACACAAATTGGCGCCATG